ACACACACACACACACACACACTAGCCCTGCTACATCCTCTGCAGGACGTGTCCTTGGTGTGATAAAGTTGTTGTCTGTCTTTGGGCAGAGCTGATGGAGCTTTCTGCCAAAATGGCCTTTCTCCCAGCTACAGTCGACACAAACAGTACATGAGCCAAGTGCTGGAAGTCAGACATCTGGCCCTGGATCCTGTGCCCACCTCCTCATTCTTCCCCCCAAAAGAAAACAAAACCTTTCTGAACATTTCAGCTTCTGTGATTTGACATGGAGATTACAGCTGGATCTTGCCAGTCTGATATGAAAGTAGCAACCAGGTTTTCTGAAACCCACTGATATGTCCAGTTATAATCTCTGAAAACAATTACAGTTATAGATCAACTTTAAGGTACGTGACAAGCAAAAAACGTGTTGAATTCAAGACAGCCAAATATCAAACCTTAACAAATAATGTCTTCAAACAAACCGTCTTTATTGCAGCGACTTCATGAAAACGTCAAAATGTTCAAATTAGCACTCAAACTCACCCGGATTTTCTCCAGCTCTCCTCGGGTGGCTGTCTGTTGTTTCTCCAGTCTTTCACTCAGCTGGGAGCAGATCTATAAGAACCACAGAGGCAGTGGAGGGATCGGTTCAGTAACACATGTTTTCAACAATTCACCTAAACTTGGATTCATCAATCAATAAATATGTCCATTACGTCTAGACACATTCAGTTTACTAAAGACAACATCAGGCCAAAACCAAGACTATGTCTGGGGCGTGTGTGGCCACTGTGCAGAATAATCCATTTAGATAAAACTCATGCCTTTGCAACTAACACCAGATTTTTTTATTGTGTAACTTATACTGCTCTTTTAGAGTCTGTTATGATTTCTGTTTATAGCGACTGGACTTAACACTCTGCACTTCCTGGTATTTTCCATTCCCGACTGCATGTGGCTGGAAGTAAATCAGTCTTTCTGGAGGAGACTTCATCCTCTTAACTGTAAGTCAATTAGTAACATCATCATGTCAAGTCCTGTTTGTGCAGCAGAGCTCCCAGTATGAGCATGCGTCAGTACTGAGGTTCATTCATATTACTCTGTTATGACTTTCATCCACATGTATCACATAATTGTTTCCATTGTGCTCAATGCGTCGGAGCACTAGGGCCATATCGAAGAAAAAAATATGTATTTCGTAAAAGATTTGTAATATTTTGACTTTATTCTCGGAATACTATAATAAGGAGTTCTTTCTTGTAATATTACGACTTTATTTCCTTAAGTGGCCCAAATAGTTAGTTTACATATCAAATCTTTTATCGTCACACCTTCCATATAATTTTGCGACTGCAGCTTCTAAGATAACTCACACTTTGCACTGTGCTTTATGCTTTCACCTGGAATGAAATGTGCTATATAAATAAAGTATTGCTAGTTTGCACATTGACCTCTTTACCTGTAACACACAGCCACATTCACACATGCAGCTCTACTTTACAGATGCAGATCAACGTGACATGATTCATCCTAATGGGTGCTGTGGGTCACTCCATCTTTCGATCTGCTCTCTGGTGCATATACTGTACATCCCTTCATCCTCCTCCTTTAGAGATCAACATATACATCCCTCTGTGTATCTTTAGCCAAGCAGATATGCATCATCCTCCTCCTACAGGTCTTTCATCTTTCTCCCCCTGTTTTCCTCTCAAATGCTTTTAATGTACCCATCTCTCTACCTTCCCTTCATCACTACCAATCTCTTATCCCTCTTGATGTTGCAGCTGTCCCCTGCTCTTTTACTTCCCTGATTCCCCCCTGATATTTTACCTCATGCTTCTCCACAACATTCAGTTCATCTTTTTACTTTAACCTGAGCTGCTCAGCCTCATGTGCAGAGACCAATCTGTCTTCAATCGTGTCCCCACATGAATTAGAGGCATTTTGCTCTCCACCACTGTTGTGTGCCACACTAATAATACCCTCATTTTGTGCTAGTTTCGAGTTCCAGTTAAGAGCTATGGGCCATTTGTTGTTTTTCTATCTTTTCCCCAATAAACAATTTCAGCTCTTATTTAATTTAAAAAAAATTCTACTCAATAATTCATTCAGTGCCACTCGAACATTAATGCCTGGGGCAACTTCTGTTTTGTTGGTCAATGTATATATTGCAGTGCATATGATGGGCCTATTGGACGCACATGCAATTTAAAAAATGTATCACATTTCAAACATTGTTTTTAAAGGTTAGAAATAGAAGCAGAGAAGTAGAATACAATGCTAAATACTTCAGTCCAGGGTCAAAATAGTTTAAAACCCCATGAAATAAATATGTAATGCTAAATGGACCTTAGAGATGTAAGACCTGGCACATGATGCTGCTACCTGGCAATCGCCCAGTGGACCTGACTGTATCTAGACAGGCTGCTCCTACAACAGAGATTACAATGCACCAGTTGACACAGTTTTCTCTGTCTGTGTGGGCTGGAGGGGCAATTAGCACACAAATGTTCTTTGGCTCTTATCCCAAAAAAAAAAAGAAACTTGGCATTAACAGGCACCAAAATTGGAAAATGCCATTTGAAGAATAATTCGAGTTATCTGGGCTCAAATCATCGCAGGCTATTTCGGGGGAATGCTCCAACTTGTCAATCCCAGAGGACTGAATGCTACTATCCTCCCTCTGCTCTCTCCTGCACAGACTTCTGTTCCATCTATCACCATCTTCCTCCCTCACAAAAAGGAGAACTATTTTTGAAGGAGCCCCATTTTCACACTTCGCTTTGCTCAGCACAGCTCTCAGCTACTTGCGAGCAATCTGAAGGCTGCTTTCAACCGTAATAGACACACAAACACACATCCATCAAAACCCCCTCTCCACCATGATGGCTCCTGTCACCAGTTTTCACATCTGCTGTCAATTGCGATCTGCCGCCAACATTTTTAGATAAAGGTGAAGTTCAGGTCTGTCTCTAAATTAGTCCTCCTGCTATTTCTGTCTGCCCGCACAAGCAGCAATAGGAGCTGGATAGTTGCATAATGTCTCTGCTGATGATAAAAGTACTCGATGTGGATGGGTTTATATTTAAGCACTTTGTGACAGGATGAGATCTAAAAGGATGAAAACCACCGTATGAGGAATTCGGCGACAGGAACTGAAAAAAGCAAACACAGGAGCTCTCAAATCAAAGGCTCTGGGTTCAGCTTGGGGACAGTTTGTAAAATTAGACATTTCTGCTCCACAAACAAGATGACTGAATTAAAACAAAAGGCTCTCATATTATTTTTTTAATATTTATCTTTCCAACAGTACTGGCTGATCAGAGCTTTAGTTGTGAAAGGACAAGCCAAATAAGGAAAGACGAGAGAAGGAGAGGTGCTGACAACTCACTTCTCAAACTTCCAGAGTTCAGGTTGAGATATAAAACAAACCAAAATAGACAAAAGCACATTCGAAGGAACAGAACAAAACTAAAATTCACAGTGACAGAAATATGATAAAAGCATAAGTCTGATGAAATGTCAGAGGTGTTCACTGTTGGGTTGGTGATTCCAGAGTGAGGAAGTATCCTAATGACTGTCTGAACTTGTATTTATCCTGTGCTCTGAAATATAAATTAGCTTAATAAGTAGTAAAGCTTCAGCTCATAAATTTGCTGCTGCTGCTGCTTCTGCTTAAGTTCTCTTTTATCATTCAGTCTTGTTAAACATTATTAGTTATTGATTTTTCAGCCTTTAAATCGTGCAAACCTTAAATATCACTAAAACCTTGCATCTGTTCACCAATTACAAGAGACAACTTCCAATTTATTCTGTTTTACATTCACTTGCATCTTTAATTAGCAAAGCTCCTCTGTTCCGTGCTTCTTCCAGATCAATGAGCAGCTTTCTCTACAGCTACTTTAGATTTAAAAGCTACTTATGAAATTTAACATCAGCCTCTGATAAGAACAAATTCTAAAACTCTTTTGTGCCTCGTTCACTTTTTCTGTACAGAGCTAAGAGGTGTGACCCATCTCCAGCCATTTTTTGTCACTTTACACAGAAGGTTCTTAATGGCCTGGGTCCTCACTATATTTAAGACCTTTTAGCTCCATAATGGACCAGCATGTAGTTTGAAACATTAAAGGTTTTAAGACTGTTCAAGAGTCCAGGATTAAAAGAGATAGAGTTTGGATACCATTCAGTAAACTTGATTAGTGTTCAGTAGTTGTATTTGGTGGACCTCTCACACTCTGCAGGATGTGCAAACAGTGCAATTTTCCATTTTTGTGTTTCTTTTTAGAAATGGAAGGAACATTTTACAGTGATTTCTGTACACATTAAAATTTGAAAGCACAAGTTTCAGACACATTACATACCTGCTTATATTCTCCAATGATGGAGCCATTCTTCTTAATCTCTGATTCAGACTTATCGAGCTCTCGTCGGCACATCTCCTTCAGCTGTGGACACAAAAACAAACACACACACACACACA